TGATGCTGCGACTATATGAAAACGTTTCAGCGCTCGATGCCGAGGGATATCGACATTGTAATGCTAAACGAAATAGGGCTGGACGATATCGCAGTGCAAGAATATTGCGGTAATGTCTTAATCTGTATTTCTGAATGAATATGAACATAAAAATTCTTCTTGTGTGACAGTAGTGACCCGGATGCTAGATAAAAAAGAAGGTGTGGCCTGTTGCGTCGCGTCGCCATTAATTGGTGAGCGTGTTTCCACTGAGTTGACAGTTGCGACCACTTTCTTTTTTTTTTTTTTTTGGTGAGGGCGCTGACGTTGCACCCATCAAAGCGGACGACACTTCGTGTCACAATGTGGGTGCGTGAGGATTTGTGCGTGTCCGTGTGCTTTTTCGAGCGTTTTCTCGTGCGTATTTTTCGTATGTGATCGTGCGTGCGGGTACTTTGCCTCATGTTTTTTTTTTGATCGAATACGTTTACTGCAGGGACATCCTAGCGGACACCAGTAGTATAGTACCTAGTGCTCTAAATTGTCAACAATGTTTTCGTGAACACCAAAGTAGTACAATTCACTTATGCACATAAACTGGGACGGCTTTATTCTCTGCCAGAATAGAGTATTATGAATCGTTAAATACTTCTTTATCTACACATTCGTGAATTATCTTCAAAGAATGATAGGTTAATGTTAATGGTACCTCTAAGGTATCTTCCACGACGTATTCGTGGATTGCGTTCAACGAGGGATATATGCTGAATTGGGGCACAATTCCACTTCACGAAGGCGGACAACCAGGGAAAGTACTTAGCACATGACATAGTGGTGACAAAGAATTTCGAACCATAGTCTGAACTAAGTTCACTGTCTGGCCCTCGTTTTGCCATCTAATAGCCCTTTCGGTGACTCTGGCTACGCCATGAATCCACGTAGGATACGGATCCGTCGAGTTTGATTGATATGTGAGGTTTAACGTCCTAAACCACCATATAATTATGAGAAATGCCGTAGTGTAAGGCTCCGGAAATTTTGACCACCTGAGGTTCGTAACGTGCACCTACTTCTGAGCACATGGTCCTACACCATTTTCGCCTCCATAAAAATGCAGCCACCGCAGCCGGGATTTGATCCCGTGGCCTGCGGGTCAGCAGCCGAGTACCTTAGCCACAAGACCACTGCGGTGGGGTGATCCTCTGAGTTGTCCACCTCTTGCAGCGGAGCTGGAAATGGCTCACCTTTGAATGGGTGGCGCCCATCCACACACACACAAAAAAAAACGTACGTTGTCTTTACTAAGCGAGCAATGACGTAAAATACCACCTAAAGTTGTGACGTCAACATGACGTCATCAAGGAACGTCGCCAAAAAGCAAATGTTCTCGAAGGCCAAACCATTTCACAACAGATCAAATAATTTTTCAGTGCCTTGCATATAGGTGGGAGCGGCCTGGATTCCATCTAGGATTTAGCCTGGGTGGAATGGACGCGTGGACAGATAGACGCGTGGACAGACAGACGAATGGACGCAGGGACGAACGGACGTACGTATTAATGAACGCACGGATGAACACAGGGACGGACGCATGAATGGACACGTGGATGAATGGACGCACGGACGGACGCACGAACGGACGCACGAACGGACGGCCGCACGAACGAAGGGAAGCAAGAACGAACAGACGGATTGACGGACGCTTCTCCCCACTCATCTTCATTTACTCCGTGGATATGTTGCGATTTTCTTGAGCTCCGTATGCATGGAGCATCAAGTTTATATTTGCATTGGACGATACTGTCATAAAATTGAGCAGCTTTCCTACACTAATAACAAGGTCCCGGTAATTTGCTCGTTATATCCAGGAAACCAGACGATAATGTGCCGTTTCCTATCTCAACTGGCAACCTAAGCATTACACGATTGGAAGTGTATGTTTCAACATCGGCTGTTCGTAGCATTCACGGCAATGAAATTAAATTGCCTGTGTTGTTATAATTTGTTAGTTGCTTGCTGTGGAATGGAGCATTTCTGTGAATATAGATTGTGTAACTCGTGCTGAGACATTTGTATAAGTCATCGTTCTGGTTTAATGTACTGAGGAACTGCAGATAACGTAATATTAAGCTGGTATCTATCCCCACTCTAAACAGAATCAAGTTACTCAGGACTCGTTGCTGTCATTTTGACGGCGTCAGAAGAGCCTGCAAGTGCTGCTAGCAATACTGCAAATTATTAAGTACGAATGCACAATTTGCCGTGACTACAAATCTAGCACGGAAAAACAGCCACGAAGAGGAAAGGACAGGAGGCGACATTGCTTTGATATTCCCACGGAAAGCGTCCGTGTCAAGATTTAGTGAATTTCGCTAAAGTGATGTGGCCAATATACGAAAACGAAACGTTGGGAATGGTTCGAATGGCTCGTTCCATTGTCAGTCACAATCAAAAAAGTAAACATGCAATGGCACCATGGAAACCACAGGGGACATTATTCTTAGTTTGCGACTGTAGTTTAATGGCGTTTAACTGCTGTGTATTTTAAACTCTGAATTACAAGAAACTGAAAAATATTTGACGGTAATGCTCAAATTTAGACGGTGAAGTTCTGGTATGAAATAAAAAAAAACGGAGTTTGATTTTACGCTGTAATAAATAATTAGTTTGTTTATTTGTTTATTCACATATTACTAAATATTACTTAATTATTGATATAACTACTTAATTCATTCACTAATTTATTTACTTGAATAATCTCAATGCCCTTGGTGGCGTTACAAAGAGGAATGGTGTTACAAGTCAGAAATAGCAGTCTAGAATGATGCGTGATCAGGGTTGCATGCGATGTAAGCAGGAAGGTGGTTCCATTCAGATGAAGTCTTGGGCACACAGTAGTGGAATTAGATGTTGGTATGACAGGATGGCACATGAACTTTGAAGTTGTGGTCGATGCGAGATGAAACGTAAAGAAAGTTGCGAGAACAATGTGAGTTTTATTTCAAGATTCGTGAAAACATTTTTGTGGAAGAGGCACAGGCTTCCGTCTGTTGAAATTGGTAGGGAGGTCGAGAGAAGTTTTTATTGATGTGAAACTAGCAGTGCAAAGTTAATTGGCAACAATGAAATGAGCTGAACGATTCTGAATGGCTTCCATTGCGTTGACAAGTGTACAAGAATGAGGATTCCAGATTAATGATGTGTACTCGAGCTTAGATCTGACTGGTGTTTTAAAAGAATAAGTTTCAATAAAACAGGCACTAATGAAAAGTTATGGTACAAGAAGCCGAGAGTGGGCTTTCCATTGTTAATCACCCAAGTAATATGGCTATTCCATGGTAAATTGTTAGCAATGTGTGAACACTTAGATATTTGTAAGTAGTGACAGATGATGACTGAAAATTAGTAATCGAATAAACAGGGCTAGTGCAGTCAGTACTTTCTCGAGAAACTCCTTATATTAGACTTGTTAGTATTGAATTTCATGAACCAGAGTTGACACTCAAAAGTAATGCTGTCAAGAACGAATTCAAGTTGTGATGAATCATGTGCGTTAGTTATTATGCGATATATGACACAATCATCGCCAAAGAGCCTGATTGTCGATGTAACGCCGGATGGAAGGTCATTAATAAAAATTAGAAAGAGTAAGGGTCCGAGGTGAGAACCTGGCGGCACAGCAGATGTTACAGAACAATAGAGTAATTTATGACCGTCACCTGTTACTTGTTGAGTTCTTTGGGACAAGAGGCATTCAATCCACCGTAATATTTTGGGTCAGTATTAAGCCCGCTTAGTTTTACTACGAATAAACGGTGAGAAATTGTGTCAAAAGCTTTTTGAAAATTAAGGAAAATGCAGTCCATAATGAAGCAGTGTCAGATGCTGAAAACAAATCATTGGTGCATTGAGGTAGTTGGTTTTAGCATAAGAAGTGATTTCTAAAATTATGCTTACTGTTGTGAAAGAAGTTATTTTCTTCTAGATATGCAATTAAGGTAGAATAGATGATATGTTCAAGAAGCTTACATAAATTACTAGTCAAATTAATGGGACTGTAATTATAAGGATTAGATGAGTCACCTTGTTCAGGCACAGGAATCATGCACCTTCTCTGCCTTCCAGTCACTAGGCAATGAAGCTTGTTGCAAGGACTGCAAAAAAAAAAAACTGTAAAAAATGACCGAGCAATAAATCCCGTTGGTCTGAGATATTGGGGAGTGATTCCATCTATGTCAGGTGCTGATGCTTTCGTTTTAAGTATAGGTGAAAAAGGCCTAATTGGTCAAAGATTATTGGATTCAATAGGAAATATCCTGGATCAGCTTGAATTGGTAAATGATAAGAGTTGTCAGCAGAAAATGCGTTTTTAAATACAACTTGCAGAGCTTCACAGCACCTGTCACTTGAAATTGCCAAACCCAACTATTTACTAAGATCGACGCTCTGATTTTTCGGACCATTTACAATACACCAAAACTTACAAGGGTTTGACTGCAGAAGAGAAGGAAGTGTATCACTTAAAAAGTACGTCTATCAACTGTATAAGTTTTGCTATATTGTAATGTTGCACTGTGATAAGCCGCCCATCTCTTCGTGGTATCAGATGATGAAGCGCTGCGGTAAAGTTGTTTTTTTTATCACGTAAGCGAAGAAGTGCTGAGGTGAACCACGAAAGAGCAAAATGCCACTGGAACAGTTCGCAAAGGAACATAGCAATGTATAAATGAATAAACTTATTTTCAAACGATACACAGTTCTCCTCTACAGTGTTGCTGGTAGCAGATGCAATGTTTGAACATATGTTAAAGATATACGGGATGTAGATTCGTGCAAGGAAGAATTTTATTTCGCTAAAAACTGGCCCAGCTAAAAGCACTTCGGCGGAGAAGCTCTCTAAAAGAGAAGAGCACGTTGATAAGACGCATTGTTTTGAAAGGACGTCGTTATTCTTTCCTCATAGACAGCATCCTACATTTCAAAACGTATTCCTAGCTGAAAACCTTTTCTTTTTTTCTCAGGACTGTCCAGCGGCGCAATGGGAGGCCCCACAACGAAGCAACCGCCAGGCTGTACGAACGAGAGCTTCGAGAAGTGCGGCACCGACCTGATCCTCTTCGCCGGAGGACCCGTCATCCCCACCAACAAGGAGCAGCTGCTCACGTCCTGTCCGTAAGCATCTCCGACGATATCACTGCCGCCGACGAATCATGATTGTATTAGCTATGGGCTGACCTTACGCCAGAAAATAATTAGCCGCGTAACTCCACGATTCGCTGCAAAGGACGTTGAAAGACGACAGTCTTCCGGCTGGAAGCGCTTCGTGGCATATGGCACAATCTGGCAACAATTTGATACAGTACTAGAGCAGGTGCCGGCTCCCCATGGCCCTCTCACATCCAGTAATGTGATGAAACGAAAGTTTTTTTAGAACGCAGAGTCATTGGTAGGTGGCGGCACCTGGTCGTTTTAGCTAGAGCCCCTGAATTTTTTAGCGATGCGTAGGAACTACCCCCGATTTTTTGTTCATAGCGTGGAATTGTGAGCGCACCGTAACAAACACTTAGGTCTTTAGAACTGCGTATCTACAAATTTTATAAATAAAATGACAGACTGCCTTACACTTACGTATTGATGCGCCTCAAATATGCGTAATATTTGCTTTTTGATCGACAATGGTGACAAGCATTAACACAGCCACCAGATCAATATAACTGGACGTTAAGCAAGGACCTACAAGTGAATCGGTCATCGCACAGACCAACAGAAAGACATACAAACCAAAATTTCTGCGTAACCCTAGATAAGTGGTTACCGCAAAAATCACTGCAGATTCGAGCTTTTGAAATTGCAGGTACTATGTTTATCGCGAGCTTGAATATATCGATGTGTCTTCTAGAGTAGTTTTTGTTTCCTCTGACTCCAGATTTGAGAAATGCGTGGTTGAAATTTCGCGTTAGGTGAGTTCGGTTAAAAGAGACCCCTAAAGAATATTACGGGTAGCGAATCATACAACGGCGGATCTCACTCTTAGCTGCATGCTGACAATATCTGAAGAGAAACTAGTTCAAGCGTGTGTACCTTTTCTGGTAGCATATGATAGTATTGCTTGTTCATATTAGCTTTTGCTCACTCGTGGACTCGCGGACTGCCACAACGTTCTTCTTTCTCAAGAATTGCGTACTGGGACAGCGTATTGCGATCCCGTAAAGTGTACATCGTACTCTAAATCGTAGTTTATTTGTTCTGAACAAATTGTCGTGCCTCTCAACCACATACACCTGCCTCGTAAAAGAATTCGAGACGTGAAAACACCACCCAAGAAAACGCAACAAGAAAACAGAGACGTCTGGTGTCTCTTCTTGTCTCTGTCTTCGTACGCCCTGTCTCCATTTACGACGTGTTCTTACGATCGTAACATAGCGGCCAGTTTGAAGTGATGCCTTACCAAAAGCCTCAAGTTTGTGTCACTCGAAGAAAATAGAATGCGGAGTCAAAGACAATGCGAATATGAATGCGTTCAGAAAAGAGAAACGCCGTTTTTGTTTTTTTTTCATTCACCAACCCGGGTCAAGCAAGCATGTTTCTGATGTGCTTATTTTGAGGCTAATATCATCTTTCACACGCCGGTAATTGGATGTGCGCTATAGTGTTTTCAAGCTGTTGTATACAAAAACTATTCAGCTTTTCAATTTCGTGTTCGCGTTTCATCTGTACATAGCCGGACACACTGGGCAATAATGACGATGAAAAAAAATGACCAACAGAAATTGTAATCAAAGGAAACCAAGGCTTTGCCATATTAACAAAGAAGCTCTTACGAGCTATTGCAGCTAGTTAGTCATCGACGTCTCGTGATGTGAATTACAAACTGTTCACGCCAAGAGTGATGAGGTGCCTTTGATAGAGACAGGTTCACTTATGGAAACGTTGGTCGTCCTGTCTGAGGCAGCTCCTCCTGTTTAGAGAACATCTACGGGCCTATGTGAAAGTCTCTACCTTTTGTGTAGTGCCAACGCTGCATACGCTTCAACCCAATTACTGACAATTATTTTTTATCTCTTTCTCTTCTCTTTCCTTTCTTTTTCACTTTTGTGCCCCCCTTTTTCATCCCTCCAGCGTAGGGTAGCAAATCGTGCATGTGCTTAGTCAACTTCCCTGCCTTTTACCTTCTTGTTCTTGTCCTTCCTTCCTTTTCGTCCTGTAGTACTTGTGTTGCCATTCGTCAATTTTTACCTGTCCTTTGAATATGCACAAGATGAAATACTATGTCCTAAAATAATGAAATGGACGTCATCAAATACGTGGTCTAGCAAAGAAGGCACATAAGGAAGCATGTGTTAACCCGATGCAAGTGCTTTTCACAAAATCAGAAGTGCAAGCAACGTGCCTATTTATTTAGGTTACCATCGATGAAATATTGAGAACCGTCTCTCTGAGCTGTTTTCCGACGAAACTTTCTTTCTAATTCGCCCGTGCTAAACTTAAGTATCGGCTCTTCGTACTGTAGATGTCTGAGTCGCATGTGAGAACTGTAGGGACGACGGAACACCATTGCGTGGAGTAGTAGGAAGTGTTTAGTGAAACCACTGCGCTGGCAGAAGTTTCTATAATAGTGCAGCAGTTGCCTCGCGGGCTTCGAGATGGCGAAGTCGGGGTGCGCCGCTACAGAAACTTTGCCAACGAAAGGCGTACTCACGCGGTCCTACAGCGTATGGAATCTTGCATTTCGCGGGCAAAGGGATAAGACTTACAATATCTGGAAAATCTACACGACCTAAATAAGGAAGCCTCCAAGACTGGTATTCATGTGAAACGCCGTGCTGACTCTTCCGTAGTTTTGTATCGGCTGCTTCTAGCTGTTTGCGCAAGGAGCCCTTTTTCAGGAAGGTGCCGCTTGCATTGCTCGTTGCTGATATTCCGGCTCGCTGATTTCCGTATGGGACTCTCTCTCTTTTAGGGGTAAGAACGCATAGAAAAAGAAGTTAAACATCTTCTTTTCCGTCTGAGACAGAAACGCTCGCAATGTGTGCAAGAGGATGTTCGTCGCCATATGCAATGAGTGCTGGGAGAGATATGGCGTGCCAACAATGATGTGGCGCTCAATTTTCCTCGCTTCTTTTTTCATCCCAATGTCCACCGAAAGCCTCGTTATCGAAAGCATAGCGTTTTGACCTCGGAAGAACCTATTTCTGATGTTCAATCTTTTTTTAGTCCTCTTAGAGCATTGGCAGATAAGATCAGTCGCGCTGTATGCACGAAGAAGTGTTTGGAGTCCCCATCAAGTTACTTTTAAGAAGCAGCTTGAAAGAATACAGACTAGCGGCGCGCATTATTTGTTCAACGTACCGAATGAAGGAATCAGTCACACTGATGTTACGGAGATGCAACCTAGATCCTCTTGAACTACGTAGAAATAAATATAGGCTGAAAGTATTGTTCCGAATAATGCACGATCAACGGAAGATAGATAAGCTCAAATATTTACATACTCCAGGCAAAAAAATCCCCGAACTAACCACGATTGCGTCATAAAACCATACCTTACAAATACTGACACATTTCGATATTCGTTTTTTTTTGTTTCAGATGTCATAGAAATGTGGAACAAATTGCCGAACGAAACTGTTGTTTTAAAAAATGTCGCTGACTTAAAAAATGCTGTAGAAGCGCATTTACGTGATTGCTAAATTAATTTTTTTCAGTGCCAAGTGATGTAAGCGACTTCATGTTCATAGAAAATATTTAAAAAAAATGACTGCGAATTCCGAATTGTTCTTGAATTGTCATTTGAATGTTGAGTTGTTAATTATGATAATACCAGTTTTCATTGTGAGTTGTCAAAGTGTTAGGAAACTTTATGAACATTGTACATTTTTTATGTATGTCCTCTCTGTTACGACCTTCTATAAGGGTTGACAGTATTACCAAAAAATAAAAATAAAAAATAAGGCGACGTCGATGCCATATGCCACATGAGACTATTCAAAGACCAAGTTTGGGAGCACGGCCGGTAAGCGTTCGTTTCTCGATGCAGGAAAGAGAAAGCGTCGGAGAAGTGTGCGCGCTCGTACTCGACCAAGTGCCTCGCCCGGTTTCCTCGAGGCATGGTCATGCTCCTGCTGGACGGCATTCGAAACGAGGTCAACGCCAAGTGCAACACCAGCAGCCCCAGCGGACAGGGTGGGTTTCAGGGCGCACAGAGTGTGACAGAGAGTGCGTTGTGGTAAGCGGCGCGCCATAGGTGGCAGTTTGCCTGTGGACGTAGTGGACGATGCCGCATTGAACTCGTAGTCCTTTTGCGAGAGTGGTACAGCTGAAATGGTGGATGGAAGAGACACCGTGGTCTGCTGTTCAAGCGTTGACTGCAACTAAAGAAGTGTGCAATATTCTAGAGCATTTATCCGGGTATTCTCCGGCGAGCGACGCTTTGAGCGTAGAAGGAGCGTTTTACATGATTGGAATAACAACATAAAGACGAGAGCCTTATTTATAGAACGAGCCAAATTCACTGAGTGCTGTTGGCAATCGTCTTGAAGTTATTCCTTTCCTTCTTTAGAAGTGTGACCGATTCCTAAAATGACTCAAGTATGAGAAAAAACCTATATCTCTGTGTTTTGCGTGTAATATGAACATAAAAAGTGACAATGAACACCTATAAAACACTGAATGATGTTTTTCCTTTACTAATCACGTGGTTTGTTTTTCTAGAGTCACCGAAAATGTCCAGTTAAGTATACTAAGTAACCTAACTACAATATGCATGCATACAGTGCTCCAACTGACGTTTTAAAGGTGAAAACATCGATGACACACTGCGAAATATGTAAAAGTTGGAGTGTTCTCAGGCTTCAGAACAAAACACCTACGTTTCGAAGCTCGGAATCGACCCTGGATCTACGGCGGGAAAAAAGAAAGACTGCGCTTAAGACGATTGAAAACACGCACGCCACTTTAATACTGAAGGCGTAGTGCGTGAGTTTCCGTCTTTCAAAACACAATTGCGGATGCCGCTATTTAGGCGCATAAAGGGTCATGACGTAATCCATATTCGTCATTCTGCTCTTTCTTGAGATCGCGGAAACAAAAAACCAAGCGAAAGATAATGCCTGGGAAACAATGTTATTAGGCGATGACGAACGAGCTTTGCTACGATCAAAACGTAATTAATAAGTTCACCCACCAATTTTAACCTTTTGCTCTATACTCACCCTAGCGAGGGTAGTGTTCTCAACGCCAGAATTGTCCGTGAAATGAAAGACAATTACAAACAACGTACTTTCGACCTTCCTCGTCGAGCGTGTCATTCCAAATATGAAATTTTGTTTTAGTTGCATGCAGCAATTGGTTGAGCGCACCCAACGGGAACCTACTTGGTGCGTGTTGTTACAAAAAACAAAGAACCCAAAAACTAGCATGCATAAGAATAACTTGGCATCACCAGGTTCCATTAGGCACGTACGAAATGGCACGTTATCTTTCATAGTACACCATTACATCTGTGAGCGTCAGCTGTCTGATTTTGTAAGGCTGGCGGGCAAATTCGTGTATGAAATAGGAACATGAAAGCGTGGAAACAGGCTAAACTCACTCAATAACGAGAGTAGTGCGTAAATAAACTCACAGCGTATTTATACACCAGCTTTGCGCTTTTGATATAAATGGAATTATTGTCTCTCAGTATTGAGAAAACACCTGATGAGCATACAAATGGCAATGACCGCAACTGCGCAATAAAATCGGTAAGATTAAGTTTAGCGCTAACTTTGCAAATCGCTAGCGATATTGTCATTCATGCTGATTTTTATATGATGTTCAATGTCAACGCGTATACTGCAGAAAATACATGCATTATTCTTGAAAACGTAGTCACAGTTGCTGCAGTAGGCAGTTCCATCATAACTCTATCGCCCACAATATTGGTAGAACACGCCTGGTCCTGCATGTGTACGTCAAGACTCGTCTTGTGCAAGGATTTCTCTCAAGACAAACGTTCCACCAATCATGGTTCTAGGGATATTATTGTTGAAGGACGCTTCCTCTACAAAGAAACACCATTCCTAATTTGACTCTTATGCTGAACTACCCATGTAGCACAAATAACCGATTTTTCAATGAATGCTTTACTAGCAGTGTTTCCGCGAGTGTCCGTTTCAAGTATTTCCTGTTCTTTCGAAACACAAGCGTGCAGTGAGTGACGTCTCAATGCTTCTCGCAGAATACCTGAAGCACGCACCATGCCTCAACACCAACGGCGCACGCCTGCACCAGTGCATGAGAGACCTCACGCTCGTCCTCGACCAGAGCGTCGACGCGCCACAGAAGAGCCGCCTGGCGCTGTCCTGCTGGTAATGTTCCTGTTTGTCTCTGTCAATCTGACTCCTTCGTGGATAGCAGTAAGATAGAATCAGATGAAAAAAACTAATGTGGGTGTTTTAGATGTGAAACCACAATATAAATATACGGCAAGGCGCAGGAGAAACTCCGGGTAAATTCAGGGAACCTGGAGTACATTAACACGCAACCAAGTATACATAAGAGAAGCTTCATGAAATATTACGTGGTTTTGTTGGAAAGTCAACAAGAACGTTCTTTCATTCAAACGTGGCTTCCGGGACAGGGAATCGAAACCACACTGTCTCACTTAGCAGCGCAACAAGTTGGCCGCCATGATTATGTGGTGGTTTATTAGAAAGCTCCATTCAGGTGCAGGTAATGTTTGCAGCATCGAAATCGTGGATTGTTGCTGGTGCGTCATCTAAGACGAACAGCAAAGAGAAACACAACGTACGCTGTAAGTGAACACCCTGAAGGATTTTCATCCAATTGTCCTGTATCTCTGCGTATGTCGTGCTTTGTTTGTTCGATCAACTTCAATGACAGCGTTCTTTGAGCTGTCCAACGTTGATGTGTTGCCGAAGCCACACTAACGAAGCCCGTACTACAAGGAAACATTGCCTTCAGTTCATTGAGGCCTGTTTTGACTTGTTTCTTTGCAGCTCATTCAACACCTACAGGACTTGCATGACCGAATCTGTGAATGGAGCCTGCGACAGTTCAACCAAGGCGTACGTTGACAAAATCATCACAGGATATGCGGGTACGTAAATTTATAATCTGTACTGTGATTATTATTGTCGTTTCTAAATATGTTGAGCGCTCATGACACGCGGTTGCCTAATAAACGACGCACATAGTGTGATAGTGCTCGCAAGCTAGCAGACATACTGCGAGATTTCTTTCTATCTTTCTTTCATTCATTCATTCTTTCTTTCTTTCTTTCTTTCTTTCTTTCTTTCTTTCTTTCTTTCTTTCTTTCTTTCTTTCTTTCTTTCTTTCTTTCTTTCTTTCTTTCTTTCTTCTTATTTCTTTCTCTCTCTCTCTCTTTCTTTCTTTCTTTCTGTGCTTTCTTCCTTTGTTTCTTTCTTTCTTTCTTCTCGACAGATCGATGTTTGTTGAGGTGTTGCTTGTGCAAATTGGTCAGGACAAATTCGGCTTTCCTGTAAGCCAACCTCAATTTCTTTGTTAAAAGTGCTAGAATAATAGATAGCATAATAAAGAGTAACAAATCGGAACAACGTTTTAAAGCAATACTCTTTCTTTCAGTTCCGCCAATGTCCTGAACGCGTTTAAAGGCCGCTTTTAGTTCGGTGTTATTCTGTATTATTACGTGTATGTGGTGACCTCGAATTTACCACTTAGAAACGTGAACGATTACGAAGCTACTGGAATGACGTTGTGCCTCCTGCACCTCCATTCGTATTTGCGATTACTGTTTTTTCAACCAATCATCTGCTCGAAGCTATTCATCCTCAGCATAGCTGGGTAGCCTATCACCCCAAGAATGGAAAAAGCAGTTCATTGTAAAGCAATCATTCTTAAAAGCCAATGAGACGTGGTAATTACTTGCGTGCAGGAATGACGCTGTCATTTGCTTTCGTAAGTTGAGGTTGATCACGGAACGGTGTACATTATAAAACATGTGCCTAACAAACACCTAACTTCGCATTGACAACGTTCAGTTGAGAAGTGCTCGTCAACTAAGCGCAACGAACATTATGATCCGCAATTTCCCTGCTAGGGTTGAAATTTGTGCATGAAGGTGCATGTGCGTCCCTGTCTTTGTTCCCCAACAGGTGACAGATTTTTGTTCGTTCTAAACTGATGTGCGCCACCATTGCGCGGTCAATTACCTACGACTCAAGGCACGGTGGCGCGCTTGTACAGAAGCTCGACGTATCAACAATTCAAGTGTGGCGATTACCGTCTTTCAGCTGGTACTTCCTTTCAACGACCTTCCCGTAGTCCCCCCTCCCGGAAACAAGGAATGTTGGCCCTCACGGCCACGCCACGTGCCCAAGGCATGTCGCTTCGAGCTGAACGATCTCTTCGCGGCGGTCCCTGAGGCTACGTGAATTTCAGCACCTGGTCACAGCAGGAAGTCATTGCCGAGTTGTAGGCATTTACTTGCCGGTTGGAGGCCGTCGCTACGTTGACGCGAAGTGGATACCTTTCTTAATGCGGCGTCATGCGCTTTCTGCCATAGTCCAATAACAAAAACTTGACGGCTGTTCAACAATCTCGGTAGAGTGCCTCGCTTGTTTCCAAGTTTATCGTTTGCTCGAACGAGTGCTCGTTCTGTAATCCACATTGGTGCCGGATGGTTATAGGAAAGTTGACCTGTGCGTTGGATCCACTTTCACCTTGTGGAAAAAAGTAGAGCACAAAAACGCATGGCACGTGTACGAATTTCCTCCCCCCGCGACCTACTTAGGCGTTAGCCACGGTGTCCTGTCTCTGGGAGACAGATTCCGCACTGTAACCTGTACTGCGTGACGAAGGCTCCCGCTAACTGCCCTTGAGCACCCAGCAGATTTTCACTGCCGGGAGCGGCTGGAAGAGACGGTGTCTACGGGCGAGGTTGTCCATGGGACACGTGCCAATGCCACGGACAGGACAGCGGCCGCGTGGGCCACTGTCTACGAATTGGTCCAGAGTTCACTGCATACGTCGACCTACAAACTCGTTAAACGGTTCCACCAGGTCGAGCGATCAGCTGGGGCCTGAAACCGTTACGTAGTAAGTCGAGCAGCCAGCTCCAGTGAATGACAATGATCTCCTAGTTATACTAGTTGCCTTGGCACAGCCGCAGCCGTGCGCTCGGTCGTTGGCCTTGCACGTGGGACGAAAAGGCCCACGCACGGCGCTGCAAAGCGGTGATGAATATCAATCTGGACGCTGTTTTTGCTTGCTACGTTGTTGTGCGATAACGAGGTCATGCTCCCCAAAACGTGCGCTTTTGTTTTGCTTCTTGACGTCTTTATTCTCATTAGTCATTAGCCGAATGTGAAGTAGAAGGCAATGCACTCAACTGGGCTCGCTCGTGGCTTGCCAGGTTTACTAGAAACCTGTTTTGCATAAGAACTTGGCCCAAGTCATCGACCCTGACCACTCAATAATCTCGAAGATGTGAGAAACGGAAAGCTTTTACTTACGAAATTATCCCGTGCGGTGGAGCAGAGAACAGGAAATTGAAATAGATTGATTTGCGTGATGTTACGGTGCTGCAAAAGCGTTCATTCTGCCAGCAGATTGAGCTCATTCAGGCGTATTGATGCAATATTGAAAGCTTTGCAAGTTGTGGGATGTACTGTGGAAGGTACGTGGAGTTGCGTTGGCTTAATCGATGCATTTAGTTACGTTTTACTCCACTGATTACGTTTTAATCTATTACGCCATTTGTATGATTCGTGGTAGTCAACAAAAATAGGCGATAGGCCTCGACATTTGGAGTTCCTGCTAGGATTGAATTCCACAACCTTACTCAACCTTAGCCACAAATGTTGAGAGATTTCTGGTGGTGTCAACACGAAGTTCAGCGCCTGCCAGCAGCCTCCCACAACCATCACCACAACATATATAGAGGTTACAGTCGAGCCCTAAAACTCCAATTTTCCCCATCTTTATCTGCGAGCTCGAATTCATTATATAAAATTTGCTTACGATTTTTTCCATCCCAATAAACTAAAAAAATAAGTTATAGTGCCCTTTATACATGGCATATACGAAGAAATTTATGACAATGCTAAAAAAGTAACCAACTTCATTTGCAATCGACGAATACATTCAACACGCCTTGACATGAAGCCGACAGGGGCAATGTGTTAGTGCTTGTGCAAAGGGTTGCACTTAACTTGACCCCATGCCCTATCCTCGCATAAAATCCGACTGCTCCGTGAGTGTCGTTGTCTTGAAAGCAAGAACACCACTCCAGCTGCAAACATTCGTCGACAACGAGGCAGCATGGCTCCTTGGCAGCGACTCTAAACACTCGCTGCCACGAGAGAAGGAGGCGGAACATTTCCTTCGTTGCCCTGTCATTATTTTTTAATGCACGCACTGAAGAATACTTTGGCAGAAGCGTCCTTGTACCATTGAGTCTGCGCTAATTACTAACGTAGAATCATTAGGGCAGAAGTCTCAAGTGGTTACGTTGGCACTCCCGTTTACGAGACTTGCCTGAGACCTCGCTATACCGCAGGGTCACGTAAGATTTAGCAAGGGCTTGCGAAGGACCAACAGGGTCTGACACTGTGTTGCGAAGAGCTCAGGTGACCCAGTCTGTCGGATGATGCCACATCGTAATATTACCACGACATCACAGGCCGACAAAATTTTGGAGTTGTAATGAAGTCATAGTGACGCCATCTCATGACGTCACCTGATGACATCGTCGCTTGCGGAAAGATGGGCCGATCAAGGCGACAGCACATAACCATGCGAGGTGCGGAAAGTTTGAAATGCCCCCGATGCCACAGGTAGTGTGGTAAGTTAGGGGCGTAAAGCATTCGGGGGTGGTCGGGGATGTAGAAGAGAAACCGACTGAACAGAGAAAGATGACTTTCGCCCTCTTGCCGTGTTAGGCAAACTCATAGGCTTACCGAGTGCATAGTATGTTGCTTTGACGCAGCGGTACACCGATGTTTGTTGTCATTGAGAAGAGGGTGCTTTTCTACGCATCCTTGCGGTACCCTTTCAAACGTTTGAAGGATAAATCTCGTGCATTAGATGAAAACAACTGCTCTTGTCCCTGCACGACAAAGTTACTGCGTCCTTTCACAGCATACCGGACACATAAGCGTGACGCATAGGCTTATGTGTGACGCCAAGATGCATTCATAGATATTTCGTCAATTATTCAGGGAAAAATAAAGCACAGGAAGAGAACGAAAAGCCAATAACATACCCCTGTGTCTTCATTCTTGTTTCACCTGCTTGTAGAACCTGCGCTCACGCTGAGCCCAAATGACGTAGCCGTGGGTGACACCAATGACCGTTATCTCCAAGGAGTGTGACGTTGGCCTGGGTCATTGATTTCGCTCGCTTTTGCTTTCAACCGGTTCCCTCGCGTCCCGGTAGATGCGAAATGACCGCGTCGTGATGACGACATGCATACCTCACCAGCCATTCTGTAGCTTGTGTGGGAGGCGATTTCATATCAGATGTAAAGGTTGAATCGCAATAATTTCTCCCGGGGTTCATTACCATTCGTCACTCACTGACCTCAATGGCGCAGGCCACACGGAGGGCTAAGATCGGTGGCTTATCGGAAACGTTACACGTCCAATATTTAATGCAGTCGCCGGAAATGAAACTAATACGAAATGAACAATCGGATTTTTCCGAGAAGGCGTCGTTCTTTCGACGGCACTATGTCGAGGCACGCACGAGATATGCGGCGAGCGGTTCGCTTTCACTACGTGCTTGGTGGCTTACGTGTTCGTGAATATCTCGCTCCTTTACACAATCTCGGCCGCCAGGGTCACTTTCTGGGTCAGAGAGGGACTTTCTTGGGAACCTCCTCGCTTGGTGTTTTTTTCGCACTGAACATTCGCGTTCTCCTTCAACGAGTGTTTGGTTTATCTTCAAAATCGACGCTCAGAGGAATCCCCTTCGTTCGCTGGCTGTGGCCTCAAGCATGGGACAGTGAACTTGATCGTAACTGTCTTGCCTTGTAAATACGCCAGACCGGAAGAGCAAGTAGGTTCGAGTGGCTTTATTATCGAAATTTAGTGCCAGCATACCGGTTGATAGAAAAAGAGTACACAAGCATAAAGATCGTATGGGACAAAGTCAGGAGAGCCAAAAAAATCATCCGATGTGCAACAGTCACCAATGAAGCTATACCTCTTCGATTCGTGACTACTGCAATGACACCTTTATTCAGGCTGTGACGAAATACGTCGGAATTGTTCCAGATAACTTAGAGAAAATGACACCGTTAGATATTTTAGTGACTTCACTCTATCAAACGTATAAAAGATGATCTTGTAGTTGTCCAGTATATAGTACCGAAAAAGCTGCGCAACATCTGGGCGATTTCAGGATAAGACTATGACAAATTTTAGAGAAGATAATTATGGTCAAAATCGCAGTAAATTTGATGATCACAAAAAAACTACGAATTCAACGATCTGTGTCGCAATGAAAACATGCATATCTGTTGTCTGGACCCTAGTATAATACACTAAAAGTAATTACAAGGAACACACGAGCCATCAAAAGGTCTTGGACATGTCCAGGGTTCGATGGTATATCGTCTGGTTAGGTGAATGTCACTTTATTTTGTTTTGACTTCAGTCAGTTACCTGCTTTTTAACGACGCACTAGTCTAAAACATCACATATTGTTCGGTTAACAAATCACTCGCAGCCTTTTTGGTGATCTTGTAGTCGTATGGGAACATGCTACTGCAATGCAGTAAATAACGTACGGTACTCTTTGAGCAGTATAAATCCCCTTTACTTCTTATTCTGTGAAAATGCCAAGAAGTAGGCGCAGTTCGCACCAAGCCACCAAGCTGTGCAAGGCTGGGTTTATAGAGGAGCTGGTGGGCTTCCAGCGGGTAAGGGCTTAGCTGAGCTTTCACTCTCTCACCTTTCCTTTTCCGACCCCCTTGCCATCCTACTATGCATTGCTATGTTAGCTCTCTTTTTCTTTCTATCAATTTGTCTATTGCTCTCTCATTTTCTTTTTATGCCTATTTTTTCTCTGTCCTTCTTTCTCCTTCTTCCCTTTCTTTCCATATCATTCTTTTTCTTTACGCTCATTTTACCTTCTCCTTTTCATTCTTTTCATATTCTAAATGATATCCATATTCAATAATAATCAGTTTGCTTGGCCATGCTGTGGCTGTTGCTGAATTTTGCGTGGATCCTCTCGAAAGTACTCACGTTCTCACCGACTGAGGCCCGTGCCTGGATGTGGCCGCAGACCCATTGCCACATTTTCTAGGAATGATTCTCTTTCGGAAAACCACTGATGGCACGCCTCTTCCACTCTTAGCATGCTGCTTGGAGTGGAAGACCGTTTCATTCAATTGCTTCGCGCTCTCTCTCACAGAAGAGCGCATCTCGTGAATGTCTGACTTTGCTCTGCTCGACATGCTTCTTTTCATTAAATGCGGTAAAAACTGATTTCAAGCTGTCATAGCAAGGTATACCCACACCTCGTGACACCAGACTGTAAATACTGCTCACAATCGGCCACCCTCATACACATGGCATGGACGTGCCCACAATACGCTGACGCTTCTCACACAAAAGATACATGGGAGTCCCTTCTGCATATCACTGATTTGGCACAGCAACGCCGGGTAATCTCACGCGCATTGGAGGCCACGGTATCCAAAGAGATCTCCGCTGACCTCCTCTAAGCAGCGCAACCGACCTCTCGGCTGGTCCCCTCTTTTGGGAGTAATAAAGTTTTGATCATCATCACCATCAAGCTGTCTCACGACACTAGTGTGAACTCCGATCTGATACGGATGAAACATTCATGTTCTGATAGTGTCTGGGCGACCTTGTTCCCACATTGCCTTCGTGAAATTAGTAAAAATCTAGTGAAAGGGAGGACGTGTCATCATAGTGTGACCACCTCGTTTATTTGTGCCTTTTTTCGATGCAGGCGACCTACTTGACACCGTGTGCGCCAACTACAAGACTGGATCGGACGCTTGCAAGACACTTCCGTCACTGCCAAAATCGACCAAGACGGGAAGGTCCGCATCACTGCTGTCACCGTTGGCACGAATTGTCACGAGCTTGAATGGATGAAGCGATCATTCTTCACTTGTCAAGGGCGCGATGTCTTGACTCCATACACTCTTGTAGCCAGTGATGAGGCATTGGCAGGAGAATGACTAGGGCACGCCCTTTTGCATACATCGGTTTCTCGTATATATCATTGTTCATTTTTATATTCGGGTGCATCAGTACAAAGAAATAAAAAGCCAGGAGTGCTATCAAGGAGGCGTGTCCTGTGTACAACCTAATCATCAAGAAGGCAATTTCGAACTGTGTAAGTGCGGCATTGCCTTTTATTTCATGCAGTGACAGTATGTAGACAGAATGGAAAAACTAAGCCACTAGGGTCAAATCATATCTACAAGATGAGTTCACGAAGGCAACTACACTAAATAAGCGCACGCTTTCGCAATACAATCATTGCAATTAAAGATTGAAAATGAGAATGTTTAAATTAATTCGTTCGAATGGAGAATTGCTGTTTTCAGAAAGTTACCTTTCGAATAGGCCGCTTTCAGAAGCCAACGAGTCTGAGAGCACGGCATGCGCAGTGTGTAAATACGATTTAGTCAAACAGAAAAATTATCATTTACTAGCAGCAAGTGAATGTGATCGCACTCACTAGAGAAAACTTGTTGAATTTCAATAAAGAATGCCGTCTTGTGACTTGTGGGCAAAGCATACCGTATTTCACTAACGGCAAACTCAAGAAAACGGGGACCAGTTGCCAGACTTGACTACGCAAAAATTAGCAAAAAGTTAAAGATGATTAAAATATTTCCTCTTAATTGCATAAACAATTTTTATTGGAGCAATTTATTTGATATTTGACTTTCTTAAGCAGTACGTTTATAAGGCTGTTTTTTAAAGCGTACACATGTTACTAGTCGAAATTCTGCGAAATGAAGAAGATCCGCAAACCAACTGGGTTACTTAAAATATTTACAATGCCTGCCCAACAAAGTTCATCGTACAAATAACTATCGCCAAACAAAGTTTCATTACGTAACCCATGATTCAGACGCTTTTCAGTGTGCACGTTAGAATACTGCACTTGAATCCCAACAAATTGCTCGACGTTTTCACTTAGCATGTATGCTGAGATTCTCAAATCTTAAACATCCGTGAAAAATACTTGTGTATTGGACGTTGTGCAGTTGTGTAAACAAAGCACCCATAAGCTTTACTATGTCATTTCAATAGTAATCCTAGGTCATTTAGTGAACGATTATTTTGATAAGTATCTGACAGGAGCTTGAATGATTCCCTCCCAACGCGTACAACTTGAGGACTGTCTGTCTTAAACTTTAATATAAAAAGTATACTGCAAGGCTTCATAAGTTTACTTGGAGTAACTGACAACTGTAATCTGTGGGCTTTCGCGTAAGTGATGTTTTTACATTGATTTCGAAAGTAATATAAAACCGACTGATTCATTGATATGGGGGGTTTAACGTTCCAAAGTAATATAAAACTGTTCCTTGGTGAAAAATTCAACAAGCGAGAATCTATGCCGATAGAGGCGACCAAATTCTTATAAACTTTATGATTCAGTAGTACGTAAGCGTGATCATTGTGCAGAATTGTGATTTTTTTTTTACTTTTTGCATTAGAAAAGCTACAGTATGGGGTCGAGACGTCAAGTTTACACCTAATTCGTTTTACGCATTGCATGTTTTTTTTGTAATTATTCCAATACCGCACAATAATTAACAACGTTCAAAAGAGACGGAAGTGACGAGAAAGATGCACGTTTGAAGGGATGGAAACTTATCAGCAGATAATACTGTTGAAAGCAATACTTCAATCAGACGACCTGTGCTCGTCGGTGCAGCAAGCACCTGTCCCAGGAGTATGTTTTTTCATGCCTTATATCCTCACTTCCAACCTCGATAACGCACGATAAAACGAGCAAGAAAGTTTTTTACCCTGGGGAAGACAAGCGACTTGTCGAAACATTGGCTTCAGCGGCATTTCCTGTTGGTCGATACTTCTGTAAAAAAATTATCTATGGGTGCAAACAATATACATTAAAAAGGACAGCGTTTCAATTTCGGACACTGAAGCGAATCTCAGACCCTGATGACAGAGTTGAAGGATGTCGAGCCCCATGGCTCCTGTAAAGAAAGAATTACAGAGGTAACACGAAATGGTATTGTGCGTCTGACAAAAAAAACCACAATTCTTAACAAAGCACATGCGTTCGAACGCTCTAATTATGAAGTTCATAATAATTTTGTTGCCTCAATCAGCGTACGTTACCGCTTCTTATTGGTTCTTCTCACATGAAGGTGCAAATTTGTCACTTCCGACTTCAGTGTAAAAAATCACTTACACGAGAGCTCACCAATTCTAGCTGTCCAATGCACGTAATGAAGTTTATGAAGCCTTGCAGTATAATTTAGATATTGCAGTATAAAACAAACGGTAATCCACTTTTGCGCATTACGAAGGAATCGTTTGAGCTCCTCAGATATTTATCGAACGATTTTTGACTAAATGACCGAGCATTACAAATGGCTCATTGGGCTGGCTGGTAATCGACAAAGATATAGAAGGCACAAATGAACACCGGGAGATAAGAACAAGACAAAAGGAGCACTATTGTCTCATTCATCATGTACACGTTTCATGGGGGCTGTTTACGTTCTAAGGGTGAAGCTTGAAAGAGTTTCTCATAAATATAGGACCAAGTAGTTCGTATTGTATACTTTGAATATTCGGGGAACCAACCATGCTCTGTGCTATTAACAAGTGATAACTGGTTGTTTGGAAGAGTTGCTCTCAAATTTTGTCACACCAGCAAGCACTATGTTCACTTGTATGCTGTCGCAATAAAAGCTGTTTACAACAATTTTGCTGAAGTGTTTCCGGTAGATGGAAGAGAAGACATTCGTAGAAATGGCATGGATATATATGAGAAAAGAACGAGAAAGTGACGAACGGATTTTTCCTGGTATGGTTGACAAGAAAACTAAAGAATTAAAGCGAGTCTTCGTATTTTAAACAGCATAGCAGTGAAACTTCCAGCCACCTTGACATAAAGGCCAGTGATTAGACCAGAGCACAAACGTCACGTATGGCGGCATAACACTGTATGCGTCAAAATGCTCTTGAAAAAGAAATCCTCTTCCTGGCACTGCTTAAGCACCAGGCATTGTCGACAGCGGAGAGGGGGGGGGGGAGCGGAAGTGTGACCCACGCTATCCCACTCGGCAGATCTCACTTGTTTGCCACCATTGCCACGGTCAGCAACATTCTGCTTCACAAAAGACGTCCCACGTGACGTTACTGCACAGGTCACGTGTCTCTCCCGCATATTTACTACTGTGCTATTTAGGATATGTAAACACGCTAAACCACAGAAATTGAAGTCGGAATTGTTATCATACTGCGGAAGACGCCGCTCAAACGACGCTAACCACCTCCTAGCTGACAATAAAGCCACACGGAAATGATTGAAAATTGGAAAAACACCTAAGGAACCCAGTCACAGAATAATATGTAAAGGTAGATTCAAAGATTGGGCTCGATCATGAGCTAAATCTTTCGTACACAGATGAGATCAAAATGACAAAACAAAGAAATGGATCGGGCTTTAGCTACTTTAGACTACGGCAAATTTTTCGCGATTTCAACAGGCGACGATTGGCCGAGAGTGGCACGAAGTGAGCTGACGAGACAATAAGATAAACTCGTCCAATTGGCAAGCGTGATTTATGCTGAGGAGCAATAGCGGTCCATAGATAGTGTTTTTTGCGAAAAAAAGTCATACATAGCCGTAAACCAGAAGCGACGTTCCTCCTTGCCAGGTCTGATGTTCTGTATTTCTAACTAGGCTTCATGTTTTCTGTCAGACCTCTAGTAGCACTGAACAAGCTTGCAAATCCGTTCTGTTTAGCATGCAGCAATTTACCTCTGCATGAATACGTACCACCTTCAGTCTACTTCAGTACAACTAGGATCTTTCTAGGAAATCGCGCGTCATTATGGATACTATATGCGAAGCAGCTCTTTGAATCATGAGTGTAACGCCGTACGTACGAACGCGCCGCAATGCGTTTCCCTCACCGCAGGTGTTAGAGTGGTGCCAAGCATGTCACGCCCACAGTGTAACAATAAGTCAGGTGATGACACTGCGCCCACCACCGCGCCTGGGCTATTCACATTTCATGCGACAGATGGATTTCACGCAGAGTGGGTCAAGACCCTCACTGGAGAGCGACTCCTATCTGCGTGTAGAAGGTTATCGCTAAAGAGACTCACTTGTTTATTACACTGGATATACACATGTACATGGATGAAATAAATTTATACACTCTGCTATAACAAAACTGATTTTCTAATCGTATATGCACCTTATTCGCTAACAGTGTTTTGGTGATATAAACGCTCCGACAGCAGCAAACATTGGCCCAGAGAGCAGTGGAATTTTGACGTGACAGAAACAAAGAGCTCATTTCACTGAAATTCTGGTGTCGGCGGCATCGGCGTCGTCATCTTTGGTTCAGAACAAAAAAAAAAAAAACAGCAGCCCTCTCTGTGAGAGAAAATTTCTGGTGTTTGCAATAAGGATAGCATCCCGAGGGCAAAGGCACGCTATCAATAGAAAAACAATAGTCTGCGTGAGTTAATTTACGCATATGTGCCTAAATAGTGCATATGTGCCTGCGTGTGTGCGTGTGCGCGCACTTATATCGCTGTCGCGCTCTGATTGCTTAGCAAAATGAACGAAAAAGTTTGTCAGATAACTTTGAACGAATGTATCACAAAACTTAAACGTGTTCGAATAAGAAATTCAAAAGGCATGCTACCCTTACCAGGGTTGCTGTTAGCGTCACGCAGATGACCCTATTCCGGCCTTTGATAGTGTAAGCAGCATCTTATGGTGGGGAGAACTTAATTGGTCTCGGGGATTGACCCTGTGTTAACCTGTGCCAATACCATATCGGGACTGTCAGGTCAGTGCTGACGACATACCTGCCACTATCGTTTTAAATCGCGCTAACTTCAACTTGATGCAGTGCTTATTAGACAGTGAGAGTAAGCGCACTACCTAAAGCCATATA